CCTGGACAGTCAGCTTGCAGTTCCGTAATGGTGGAATCCATACAAGCGGTACGTTGGACGGGTAAAATCGATCACACGGCTCACAGTGAGCCTCGTAGCTCAACGGTAGAGCGTTGGCTGCGTAAAAGCCTTCGCTGCTGTATGGGCTCGACTCCCACCGAGACCGCGAATTTTTCACAATTGAATCAACCGAATTAAAAAAACGAATAAAGAGTAGAAAATTAACGAATTAGGAGACATACAGCCAATAAAGCCACTCGAACATCCATATACAGTGCTGGTCTTATAAGTAATGATTTAAAGGGCATTGACACTGAATGCCCCCGTCTTTCTGTGCGGAGTGTCAATATTTTGCCCACAAACAACTTCAAACATATGCTCTCTCTCTCCAGAATGAAGGTTTCGAGTGCGTGTGCCTGAACTGAAAATGTTCCCCAGGGAAAGGAGACCCTTGGAAATGGAACCGGTTCTAATCCAACTGGACGTACACGCCCGTGCATAAATTATGCACGGGATATGGTTTGTGTGTGCGGGTGACCAACATAATATTAAAGCACTTTGACCAGGGCAAAACCAGTTATTGTGGACAAGTGTTCTTTTTTGGGGATGGGGCTGGAATAGCAGAGAGCTCGAATAACTGGCAGACTCACCTCCACTTCGCCCTGGTCAATGATATAGAAGTTGTCGCCCTCATCCCCCTGCTGGATGATAATGTCTCCGGGATTCCGGTGGAGAGGGAACATCGCATCAAAGATATCGCTGGGAAAGCAGGCGACAAACAAACAGAAAATCACTTATTTTGAACCAAAATGACTACTGAAAAGCAGCGAAATCAAACTGTTTAACTTCAAAGACAAATAAATCTTACAGATGTGCACATCCTTTTTTTCTTCTTTCTACAAAAGGATAAATATCGGCTGTCGGATAATGTATGCGCTATTAGGGCGAACAAAGTTATCAAAATTTACCTAGTGAGAAAACGGAATACTTTTCTACCAAATATGTTGCAATGACGGGGACTGCAACTACGTCGGGGGAGCCCGGGCGAAATTGCAGACCCACCTACATGAGTACAAATTGGCTAGTCAGGAGCTAGACAGAAACTTGCAACTCGTACTGGAGAAGTTGACTAAACTCTTGACATGCAACGAGCGACAAGCTGAGGCCGGCGCACCTCAAAAGCAGGACGACCCAGACTTCACGGCGTATTCAGGTGGCAACTCTGTAAACAGCCACCTAGACTTTCCTGTGGCGTATAAGAGCCTGCGTAATTACATCCACAAAGGCCAGGAAAGAGCAGACACGGCCGTTCAGCGACGCACCTACCTCGGCGTGGAGACAGAATTACAAGCATCTTCCGTCGAGGTTACGACTCGTAACGCTAGCGGGCGTCAAGCCCCACAACCATCTGTAAAAAAACCTGAAACGACGAAAGATTTTCAACATTAAAGGCTCTGAAACTGGAGAGTCATCCAAGCTCTTCGACGGGACACGTCTGTTCCGGTGAGCAACTTAAGTTTCTCAGATTATAACTAACTCCTCACCCCCCCCTCCTCTTTAACTTACAACTTTGCGAAACTTAATTAGCCTCGTAGTGGTCCTGGGAAGGGGATGCTTGTTCGACTCTACGCGGAAGATCCAACCGAGGGCACAATCCGAGCGGAAACTTCTAGATCCCCTTTAGTAGGTGTCAGGGAGGGTCTTTTACCTGGAAGAGGAGCTGAGCTTGATTGGGTCAACTGTGTTTCTGTTCGAACGCAAAATGCATATTGTTTACTGTCAATGCGATGAGCCCTCGAATGCGAGAGGGCTGGTGGTTGAAAACGACCTTACGGGTTAACTTGACGTGCCGATATCAGCAAGAAGGCAACTTCGAGAGTCTGAATGCTTTGGTTGTCGCCGTTTGACTGCGAGCTAATTCGGGAGATGGCATTTTCCTTGTAGATATCACTTTAGAAATATTCATGAAGTCGACACGACGTACAGCGCAGGTTCCAATAGCAACATGGCTCCCTCATCCCAAATAACTTCCACTGTTCTCAGATGGCAAAACTAATTATATACTCAGAAAAAGATTGGATCGCTAGGACAACACTTTTATTCGCCTGACGTGTCGACATCCGTTGCGGATTCTTCATCAGAGAGATCAACAGAAAACAGTAGCAGAAGCGGCTGGTACATGCAGAGGAAGTTGCAGTGTTTGTAGGATACAGTCATTACTGCATAGTTATGACAATAATTAACAATCATTGCTCTCTTGTGTGTTACTTGCTTGCTGACCGGCATGCGGGCTATAACCTGATCAACTTGCATCCCGCATGGTGGAATTGGATGTGATGCTTGCTCGGCCATCTGGTCCTCCGGTGTTGGCGTTAGACGGCGCGGTAGCCTGTGTATTCCCAAAGTGGCCCCCTGCTTTGGCCCGATGGAGCCTCAGCACCGAATATGGATCGGGCTAGTCGTTGTACTTGTTTATGGACTGGGGGCTCGTGAACCATGACTCAAGTAACTCTCGGCTCACGCGATTATCACCTCTTACGAGAATTTCGGCCTCATCAAATGTGAATGTGTGCCCGGGTCTCGTCGAATGAGCCGCAACTTGAGAATTCGCATCATTTTTCCGCACTGCCGTCGCGTGTATGGCAATTCGCGCCTTGAGAAGTCC